TCGTCCATCACTTCTTTTCTGGGGGTATTGATCAGTGTACACGGCCGATAACATGTAACTTCCATTTTGAATCTATCAGGTGTAATATACAACTTTGTATAGCGTATCCGATAGTGATATACTAGTCATTGCTAAACTCATACGCTTGTTTATAAATAACATTTTTGGTGTAAAGAATGATATTTATGAAAGTTTAAATAATTAAAAAAAAAAAAAAATTTGATGAAATAAAAATCTATTTACACATTTTCCAAGGGTAAATTGGGGAAAATGTAAGTATATACCCGTTGTCAATAATTATGGACATTTTGAAACACACAAATATTGATTTAACAAAATGTGCGGCACTTGTCGATCATTGGTTTATACGCCTAGATGGAAGGTTCAATACGGAACTATGGATAGTCGCAATATAGAACTAATATCATACAAGTATATTGAATATACGAGAGAAACATCCAGAACCAATCTGATTTAAATACAGGTCGATATCTAACTTGCTTTGGTTCATCGAAGCTATAGACATAGTAAAATCACAGATTTATATTTCAATAAGATTATTTCGAACAGTTTAAGAAATTCGTCATCATCACATTTTCCTGGTCCGACATGCATGTTATATATATATGCCACTGGACGTGCACTAATGATCCCTAAAGCCTATTTGAAGAAATAAAGAAACTTCACTCCGGATAGACTGATGGTAGTTGTATTAACGTCTGGTCAGCTAGAGGGTAGATTTATTTATTTAGTTAGCTTGTAGGGGATTTAACCACTCTTAATATTGCACTTATGCATTAGATATTAAATGACAGTACCGGTAATATAAGAGAAAATATAAATACGAAAAGTCGCATATCTGATAGAAAAGGACTCACCATGAACTATAGGATTGTACGTACGATTGTCATTCTAAATGGCATAACGGACAGTCATTTAAATGCATGCATGTACGCTGTGATAAAAAGGGGTGTCGCAGTTGCAAAGTATTCATCATAAATCTATTTCAAATTTATTATTTCCTGTTATTTTTATAAGTTAACGCAGAGACATGTATACACTAGATCTCTATTTAACGACAAGCAACTATATAAATATCTGAATCTGATGTGACTTACCGTTCATCTCTTTCTTTTTTCTCATTTTATTTTTATTTTTGCAGGAATATACACATTGTAAGATATACTGTTCCTCGATTTGGGGGGAGGGGGGGGGGGGGTCTGAGGTCATGTCTATCTATCTATGATTAACCTTGACATTTCCGGGTATAACAGAGCTACTTGTATATTACCTGAATGTGGTTAGGTGACGTTCCATGAGGTCTTACGTATACATGTTCATATTTATAATGGTTTCTGATATAACAATTAGGTTTTATAACATTCACACTTCTGCATGTTCTGTATACCAAATTCGTATCTTTTTTTCAGACCGAATGAGGATGTGAATATTTTCCAGGATCAAATTCATTTCGGGATTTTTTTTATTTCTTTGTATTAAATCTCAGAAATTTACAGAATATACTGCTTGTCCGCTTTAGGAGTTTTCTTGTCAGTTTAAACAGACGTATATATGTCTCTGGTTTAGAGTGGGTTTATGAATGAATGATAAGTCTTACAAAGGTACATGATATCAAGCACATTGAAAATTGATTTCGACGTTCTGTCTCCATTTAAAAAAGGAAAGTTGACGTTAGATTGATTCTGTTATTTGTTTTAAACATCGTTGGTCAAATAGCTTAAGAATTATATAAATACGTTGTGAGATTTATAATATTTTAATAAGGGCATTCCTGATTAGGTAAATGAAGATCGCTTTGGACGACAAAACTATATTTTTGTAACTGATAATTTTCTCTGCACATTTAAATATTCAAGGTTACCGATGATAATTTAAAATAGTACTGTTTTGATATATACGCTCGTTTTCGTGTGCCATTTATAATATTTATGTAATTATTTTATTAAAAGTGATACAGAATTTCGATGTTACAACAAAATACTCACCTATTTATTCAAAAACTGAGCAAATGCAAAATGTTAAAAAAATATATATATAACGGCGATTAAGGTATTTTGCCACCATATTCCTCATTTAATAATTAAAAAAAATCTGTCTCATACCTGCAACGGTGAACCCTTGAGGACAAACACCACTCTAGTGAAGATCAAAGGATTAAAATTACATAATGCTAATCTTTTAATTACCGTGAATTTAACCACGCCTTTACCAGGTGGTGTCAGCATAATACACATGCATTGTATTAACACAGTACTAGACTGATGCAAGGATTTGTATAGTAAGACAAATCCTCGACTGAAGTAATAGGGGAGAATACAAACGTGAATTTCTATTATACTATCAGTTATATATGTTGTTCAAAATATGCGTCGAAAAAAAAAATCATAAAAAAATTCTATTGTATGATTTGCTTTTATTACTATAATCATATCAGAAACCCTAAAAATATAAATCGTAAATTTTAATTTAAAAAAATGCACGGCTAATCACTTTTCTTTCTGAATTGTTAGTTGGTTAATAGCTACACCAAAAGTCGTTGATGCGCTTTAAATCGCGTTATTTGATGATTAACGAACAAGACTTTAAATGAGATTAATCCACTCCCGGCATGCAAAAAGACTTAAACTACGTCACATAAGTCAGGAAGTTTGAATAAATAGAATTAAAAATTCCCAATTTTCTTCTTTATTAGTTTTCATATCCAGATAAAACTTGGTGAATATGTTTTTAATGGTATTATGAACATAATAAGATGATAAGTAAAAAATCGCGAATTTTCCCTTTAATGACATCTTTACACTTAATCCATTGGATGTTGGATGTGTATTGATTGATATTTTAGTCTTAGATAAATTATTTTTGCATTAGGTGTTGTAAGCTTTGAACTAGCTGTCAGTACTGCGAGTACTCTCATATCTGTACTTTGTGTCCTTTTTTGTTTGTTAAGGTGTATAAATACCCTGTCACGCCTAGTCTGTGTTTTTGTTAGATGTTTTTCTGTTTTGTATCGATCTGATGAGTTAAGCCTTTTTCAACTGATTTTAATAGTTTGTTCTTATGTTGTGCTGTAACATAACTGTCCCAGGTTAGGGGAGGGTTGAGCGCTCACAAACATGTTGAACAAGCCACATACTGTATGTGCCTGTCACAAGTCAGGAGCCAGTATAGTTCAGTGGTTGTAGTTAGTTGATGTCTGTCATATTTGTTTTTCCTAAATTATTGCGTTATAAATAAGGCTGTTATTTTTCTCAATGAAATTGTTTCATATATTTCTTGTCAGGGCCTTTTAAAGCCAACTATACCGTATGGATTTTTCTTATTGTTGAAGGTCGTATGGTTGCCTATAATTGCTTACATCCACTTCATTTGAACTTTGGTGGATAGTTGTCTCATTGGCTATCATACCACATCTCCTTATAATTGTTATAAAGAATAAAAGTATTGAAAAATGTTGAGGGGATTGAAATTTGTATGTCTTAGGAAGGGGGGTCTTGAATATTTTTTCCTTCCTCAACATGCTCAAGGCAGAGACTTGAAAAAAAAAGAGAAATTCCAATGTTTCCTCCCAGGTCAACCAATTTTAATTGGATATTTGACATTTTGCTGTCTCCTTGGATTTGTGTTTAGAGCCAACCAGAGCTGACTGCCTATTGGTGGGCAATTCCTGCTCAGTTGAAGACCATGTGATAAGCTCTGGATGTCTTTAAGTGTGTTGCATATGGGTGATTTGGTGATGTCTTCATGCCATTGTCCCATTACTTTATATAGATAGCTTATCAGTCAACCTGATCTATCAAAGACGACAAATGATGGCCAAAGCTTTCCTGGCCCTTTGAATAGTCAGGCGAGAAACAAGATATAAACTGACTTGGCTTGGTATATACATGTATATGTATCAAATAAAGTAAACTTGTATAAATTTAAGTTAAATTAATATATTAAAACAACATAAAACTATTAAAGTGTAAAAAAAAATGTTTTAATTAATGTTATAAATATATTGTGTTTGTGAGTGGCCATGAATAAAGGCATGTTTTCTGGTCTGGGTAAAAAAAGAATTGACTTGGGGTACAAATCCCTGCCCTACCCCAGACTCAAATGGTTGCTCCCTTAGGAACAATAGAGCTTGAAGATGTTGAGAATGAAGATCAGATACAATTATTCTTACATCAGAATTGTACACAACAGTTTTCCATCAGCAAAAGATGCAGGTGATACTGTTTCACCCGAGGAGATGGATGAGGAAGAATAGCTTCCTAAAAAAATTGGTAAACAAGCAATTTAAGACATGCCAGAGAAGACCCAGAGTTGAAGCTTTTTTTGTTATTAAATACTTTACATTTAAATTATTACTAAATGGTTACCAAACTTTTAGTTTATGATTATTTGTTTACTAAAGAAAATCATTTTCTATTACCAAAGCAAATACTTAATGATTGTGTGATTATATTGGCAAAAAATTGGTGATTATGTGATTACTGGGACCCCCATGAGGGGCCTCATTGGGACTCAGAATTTTTCACATGCCAGTTGGTATGTATAGCCAGACGAAAAATGAAGAACACAGTGACTAAATTTTTGGTGTTAATGTTAATACAATTCAACAATCATATATAACCATGTTCATACAAAGAAAAAAACATTTACTGATCTTTACTAGCATTGCTGTGCATCTAGTCCAAATAATTATGACGTCTTGAAAGGCTTTTTTTTCTTCTGTGACAACATGCGTAAATGATAAACAATTAGAATAGCCTTTCAAGACGTCATAATTATTTGGACTATAAATTTGTGCATCTAGTCATTGGGACTTTCTCGCTGCGTTGAAGACCCATTGGTGGCCTTGGGCTGTTTTCTGCTTTGGACGAGTTGTTGTCTCTATGACACATACCCAGTTTCCATTCTCAATTCTATTAAAATTGCCCTTTTTTTTTAACCCCGGCCTCGCCATTAAACATGGGGAAATGGTTTGTACCTACCTCAATATTGTTGTGCAATAATTTCTTGAGTTCTATGTCCGCTGTATTGACTATTATCTTGAAAAAATACTGCTTTTGAACCAATACGTCTAAATCTAGGACAACTTCCACAAGGATGGCATGTCAACCAACATTTAAGACTGGAACTGTAAATTTATGTTAAAAACAATCACTCTAACCTGGTCCGAGTAGGATCTCCGTATACTGTTTACAGAAGTTCCTGGATTCCCCAATAGATAAAGACGTGGAATGTAAATCCCCTGGTCACCTTGGGAATTGTAAATAAAATTTTCTACTTTCGCTTTCACTTTATTGAGGAGAAAAGCGAGATAACTCTAGGCTGTGTTTGATTCTGATTAATTAAGATACACATAGACAGACGTTATTTTTTTAAAATGTCTCGATTTGGTTGGTAATGTGTCCCTGTTCATGCCATAAAGACATATAAACACATTTAAAGTGCGGACTGGATATCTCTGCAAAGATACATAGTAGTGCTGAAAAGATTGTATGTGGCATACACAGGCGCTTGGGGAATGGACCCTCCTTTTTTTTTTTTTTTTTGTAATTTTAATTTTTTTATGTTAAATATTCTATTATATTTTAAGATATTTTCACTTATTTGATATTTTCTTGCTCTATTCTATACGATATTTCAAATAACAGTAGTTTATAAATTTTGACCCTCTATTCTGGAAGATAATATTACTGAGAGGGTCAAAATCATGGTCTGCTGTTATTGGAATGTCGTATGAAAAAGAGCAAGAACAAAATTAAATAACTTAAGATATTACAGATTTACTAAAAAGAATTAAAACACAAAGCAAAATAAGAAAAGGTGGGTATTTAGTGTTGCCGTTTTGTTTTCGTTTTCAATATTATTATCACTAAGTTACTAGTTTTCGATATATGGTGGGGGGGGGGAATGTTTTTGGGGCCTTTTTTGTTTTGTTTGTTTGTTTTTTATTTTATTATTTTTTTTTTTTTGCTTTTTGTTTTGTTGTTGTTTTTTGGGGAGGAGGAGGAGAAGGAGCAGAAAAAAAGAAGATACTTAAGTACAAGGATGGTAAACAAAATAAATAGTAATGTAACTTGAATTATATGTCTTGATAATTCTTATAATTATACTCAAAAGTATGGTGCAACACACTGCGGTAAAGTTGAATTTAAATGAATTAAGTTGTTCTGCCAAGGTCTTATTTGGTTTGATACCTTCTTACTTGATTTCTAATTTGACTTATGATGCCGTTTATAGGAGAACCTGAAGTTAATTATTAACATCGCATCTATATTTCAACCAGTACGTAGATAGCAGACGAAAATAGCTACGGAATTAACTGTACCATATATAAGTCATACATGTACATTGTTAATTCAGTCGTTCATTTCAAGATTGTTTCATATCTAGAAATAAGCGGCATTATTTTGCATCAAGATTGGCATTGCAATACGTGACTACCTTTCGTTCCGGCCTAAGGCAGAGTTGGTCAACCAAAGTTCTTTTCTGTTACCAAATACGGAATATTTGAATTTTCAAGTTCCTGTATAACATTTTTTTTAACTTATCACTCCTACGGTTTCCGTTAGCTGTCAGACGAAAACAAATAACTTTGAAACGTGATATTTTCTTTACGATATGAAGTTTCGACCAGAATTCAGCATTACAAGGCCTGTGGTTTTTCTTTATTTCGAAGAGTAAGGTATATAGTTTACTATTTTTTGCGTATTCAGAAATTTTATTGTATGTTTTATTTTAGAATGATGGATTCTCTGAAACACAAGGAAACATCAAAAACAAAATAACGTGTACATCATTTTGTCTACCTTAGAATATACGTCCAATTTTAACTACTGAATTAAAGATTTTACCGATTTATTCGATATATTCGATATATTGTAATTTGTTCAAGCATCTGACGCCATGATTTATAATATGCGAATGAATAAAACGCTTCTGATTTCTTGACACGTTTTCCCACAGTAAACACAAGAAACAAAAATGAATTTATTGGACATCTTTGCCGACATTAACATGAGATATACCTTAATTTAACAAATAGAATATTTTGATTTGATATACCGCTGGAAGTTCAGAAATCTAAGATACTATTTTGACAAATGTTATATTCAGATGCAGTTCCACGTGCTTTAAAAGTTGTATGGCAATGCGGAAGATTGTCTCTTTATTCACCACATGTTGTGTCTGTACAATACTTGTTTTCTTTCGTTGCTTGTCTTTTTCTCAAATTATTTGCTTTCTCTGTCGTTTGGTTTTTTTTTTTTTTTGTTGTTGTAGACTCTTCCTGCTCTTACCATGTAAAAAGTTATAAACCTACATGAATATAATTGAAATGTTGAAACGCCACCGTGTCCGTAATGTGTATCCAAACAATTCAAATGAAGGGAGTCATTAAAGCTCAATGGAATCTTATTACATGTTAAATATTACAAATCTCTGATTTCGTTATGACCATAAGAGCCTGACGAGTAAAAGCGAGGTACTATGGATCTTAGTTTATTCAGATTGGGCCCAGTTCTACCACAAATTATTGATAACAGTAACAGTATATTTATTTAAAGTGACTTCTTTCAGTTTTTTTATGACGGGCTTCTACAAAACTATTACGATATTTTCTGGTGAAATCTTACCGTCCCGCACTCGGAATTTGCGCTGTATATTGCAATTTTGATATACTAGTTGAAGTTTTGGCAAGTTTGACATGATTTAAAGGTCGCAGTGAACTTAATAATATGGGGCATAATTTTAAACGATTTAGTATATGAACGACAAATAATTCTTCTTGCAAAATATAGTCATCTGTCATTGATATATTAAAATATAATATTGATCTTGTTTTGGACTTATGACTTTCCTCTGTTTCTAGTTCTTAATAAAGACGCATTTGAACATGTTCATTGCAAATAAATTCTCAGTGCTTTAGTGATCTCATTTTGCATTTATGAAGCTGGCAATTATACACTCGCTTTCAAGCGGTACATAGTGACGGGGAAGTCCGTTCGTCTGTCCGTTCGCCCGTACATCTGTTCGCTTGTCCTTCTGTCCTACTTTTGTATATCCGCATCTGCCACTGAACCGCTTGATAGAATTTTGTGAAACTTTCACATTATCTCACTTACATTATACACTTTTGCACCCCCTATTTCTTCATCTGAAAGAAATTTGGGGTTAAGTATGGGATAACATGGACTTCGTCATATCTGCAAGCTATAGTACACATTTGTATCCGCTACTTCGTTATCAAAAATCATAATTTCGTGAAACTTTTTAGTTTTCCTTAACGAAACAAGGACTTTGTCATTGCTTTATTTAGGTGAACCCGTTTTGTATCAGCAACTCCTCCTAAACCCCTTATTACAATGTACAATTTATTGAAACTATCTCACGAATTTAACCATATGATGCTTTTGTGCATCTCCTATTTTCAAATTTTTGTTCATCAGATTTATTTTATAATTTCTGTAACCAAAGCATCATGGACTTTGCCATTGCCTTATTTGGAGGTGCTAATAATGTATTTGCAATTTCTTCCTAAACCTGTTATTACAAATGACCGAAAATTTCTCCCATGCAATCTTAACCATATAATTCTTTTCTGCATCTCTTGTTTTGTTTATGATCAGAACCATGCATATTTGGATTTTCCTTATAGTATAAAGGATTCCGCCATTGTTTTATTTGGGTTACCCATTTTGTAAAACCCCTAATTACAATTCATTGAAACATTCTGTATCCAAAACTCCGCCTAAACCCCTTATTACAATGTAGTAAAATTGAGAATGGAAATGGGGAATGTGTCAAAGAGACAACAACCCGATCAAAGAGCCAATGAATTTCTCTTATTATCTTTTGTGCATCTTCCATTTTTTTAATCAGAATCATGTTTAGGGGTTCCCTATTCAAAGCATGGACTTTGCCTTTGCTTTATTTAGGGTTATCCATTTTGTATTTGCAACCTCTCTTTAACCACAAATTACAGTTATTGAAACATTCTCATAATCTTAACCATATGATACTGTTGGGCACCTCTTTTTTCTTAATGATTTTAATGGTTTCTTTCAGCAAATCACATGTACACTTCAGTACACATTTGTATCCACAAGTTCTACTCCTATATCCCTAATCAGAATAATTTTATAGAAATAAAAATTCTCAGAAACCATACCATATAATGTCAATTTTTTTAAGGGTTTTCTTTACCAAATCATAGACGTAGCAGGGGTATCATATTGTGAGCTTTGCCCACAGTACCTCGTTTGTCACACAATGTACCTGTTGAAATTCAAGTAGTTTTATATTACTTGCGTGCCCTTCTGAGTGAAATAAGTAACGGGGAAAGTGTGCAATACCTCTGTATTTGTCATTTCATAAGACTGTACTACAATCCTCTTCGCTAAATTCAATATAATGACTTATTAATTGTAATCGTTCTGTATAATGTTTATTGTGAAATAGAAAAAAAATTGAAACAAGTATTGAAATGACAGAAAATATATAACAATAATTGTAAAATGCACAGAAATGATAAAGTCTGTATGTTTAACCATATTGCTGTATTCGCCTCATTTACGTAAAGAGGGTAACATACTCTGAAAAAGAAAAAAATATATTCAGCGCTGAATATATCACTTAAACTCTATACTCGAACGAATTGAATACTCTGCTAACAATTGAACAGTTTCATGTTAGGCCAGTCTTAGACTAGTGGAATTGAAATGCTAGATCAACCAAATCAAAGACAATCATGAAATATTATGGTCTTTGAAACATAATATGAAGGTGTCATCGAATTATGCGGATTCCCATGCTAAAACATAATATGACAGAGAAAATAGATTGAAGCATTCAAAGTTCAAAGATTTTTTGCTAGAATATAAATACAATCAACACTATCACCATACCAATTTATATTGATACGAAGTTTCAATTTGAAATCAAATTCATTTATAACATGTATAAGTTCAATAAATCTTAAATTACTCAAAAAATTTTGATCGAAAATGTCATATGTTTTCTAATCCCAAATAACGTTTAGCAGGATGTTCTGTTTTTTTTAAACATTTCCGTTGACATATAATCAAATTACGGAAATCCATAAACAAAGACTAAAATACAATCATGACCTATTGTCATCACGGAACTATTAATTGCTTCCATTTCTATTATTGTGATGTAATCCCCATTGGAATACACAAATTTGTCTCATTGAAACTGTTTAATATCGTTAATATCGGAATGCAGCTGTACTTAAAGTTCAAATTTGATTAAAGGTATAAAAAAAAGTCGGTCAGTGCTGACAAATTT